ACCGGCCAAAAATGCTGTTAGTGGTTTTCTTCATTGGAAGCGTACCTTCGACTCAAGAATTCTGTGTCATTCTAGTCCGCAAGGCGGACAGAAGCCCAAGTTCTGAAGATGGCGGCGGTTCTCCCCCTCCCCCTCCCCCTCCAACTACCACACACAAGACAGCGGATCCTACAACTACCCCGAAGGAGTATATACCAGAAGAATAGGACTAGGACTGCCCCAGTCCTATGAAATAGGACTCAGTCCAATGGAATAGGATTCAGTCCCATTATCTCGGCCGATTGTTACGTTCAATCGCTTAACATGATCATTCTCGCTAACCCTCGCGTGTATATTCTCGACATCGATGAAGTAATGTTACATACACTATCTAATCTTATCTTGCAGAATTTCTTCACCCCTTGCGCGCCAACGCCGCGTCACCACAGGCATTGTCGCAGCTGTGCTAATACAGAGCTCTGACCCAAATGTATCACCCTCCAGCTGTTCTCGACATTTTATTCACCGTAAACTTCATAACCCCGTGACACCGATGTGCATGTTGTAATGCTGCAAGGTGTGTACCAACCTTGAATGACCCCGCGCGCCTGGTTTTCTGCCTGCGAATTCGATCGGTACATCCGCGGCTCGGGATGATTTTGCTCTATTTTGAGGAAGCCGTTGAGTTTGAATGGTTCATCAGGAAATTTCCCACCGTTCAAGTGGTTTCCGGTCGAATCCTCAAGAGTTTTGCAATGCCATGTCTCGCTGTTTTTTAAGTATGAATCCTTAATCAATAGGTTCAGCTGATTCATAAGGCCAACCTGTGAGGATTATTAGCAGTGTTTTCCCGTGGTTAGTACAATGGACTCAGTGATGAGCCGGACCTAGGATAATTGCACGTCTGAAGTGATACCGTGACTGCTATTTTATCTCGACATACCAGGCCAAGCCGTAAACGGTTCCATTCAGTGCAGTATGACACTCAGTATGAGAGTTGCTGAATCCAATATTCAACGAGTTGGTGAATGCATTGGATCTGAATCTTTTCCCGCTTCAACACGGGTTTCTCGTCGTAGACTATCCCGATGGCTCAAGCGGGAAGCCGCGAAATCTGTGTTCGAGTGGCAGCATATACATGCACACACCGAGCGGGCTCATCTCTGGACAATTCACGTATCTCACCACCTGAATTTGCTGTAAAATATTCCTGGAGTCATTCCCTAGGTTCAACCGTCGGCAGTCCTTCAGTGCAGCAAAAGATGTTTCGAACGAGTAATGGAACTATAGGTAATCAACCAGTGTTCAGAAAATCTCATTTGCGCTCTTTGTAAACCCTACTGTACACAGAGAGTTTTTAAAGAGAGATATTCTTACGATTCTCGCCACCCGCGTAGCGCCAGAAGATTCGATTTCACCTTGGTACCGTTTCAGCCCTAGCTATCCACCATGCCAAGATAGATTTGAACTGTTCACAGGAAGTGTCACAGGTAAGCACGATCTCCGTGCATTAAACTTGACTCACATTGATCAGTTCTGTCTGGACAGACAAATTTAATTGTCCGCAGTGGCGAGAGCATAGGATCATCATAGTAACGACGAAATGAACCACAACTTGAAGCCCAACTCGAGGGGGAAGCAATGGACCCGGGCGGTTTCGGTGAGTGGCTGTTGAATGAGGATGGTCAAAATCAGACATGGAAATTAACACGCCTGGGAAGGAAGTTGGAGGAAGGAGGTGGTGGATGCGGATAACACCTTCTGGATGACCAGCAGAAACACGCACAGTGAGTTTTGCATAGATTTGTGTTAAATACTCCATCGAGATCCACCAATCAGCCTGGATGGTTACTGAATTCTGCCCCGGGGGACTGGAGGTGGCAGCAAATTCAACTCGAGCATAAGTTGGGTTGAACAGTCACTCGAACTCGGGGTTGACTTCGACTCGGAAGCTGTGAAGGGCGGGTCTTTATAACCTAAATGGACCGCAGAATGGATTACAAACTGCGTCGGGTGTCTTGGGCCGAGTTCTGAACAGTTGGAGATGGCGCGCTGGTTGCCGCGTCAATCTGCACAGCCACTGCCGCGTCAATGCGCGTCAGTGCCGCGCTGGTGCGCGCCGGTCCGCGCCGCCCCGCGTCACTTTTACCAGACCCTAGTAAAGCGGGCCCCGGTGAGGTAGCAGCAGGCAGTTGCCTTACCGAGATGGTTGTTTATCAGAGAAAGTACAGCATGCCCACGATATCTGTCATTCTGTCATGTCATTCAAGCGATGACTGTCATTTCAACCGACGACTGTCATCCGCTGTCTAATACGGCAGCGAGTCCTATTCCATAGGACTCAGTCCTACTCCATAGGACTGGGGCAGTCCTAGTCCTACTCTTCTGGTCACTCCTCACCCCGAAGGCCCTCACGACCACGTGCAGAACTACTACCGATATCGATACCACGCCGGATACACCAACAACAATCCGTAGGCCCCTCTTCTTTTCACGGTGGGATATCGCGCCGCATTTCGCTGTTAAGGCAGTTCCGGACTGACTCAAACAACCGGAGCGGGAAGCCCCACATTCCTTCCCTCTGCAGGCGGCTCCCAGAACAGTGGTCTTTCTTTCCCGGCTGCCGGTGATCCGACCTCAGCCTCCTCCTCTGCAGGGTCTATGGACCCGGCGGCAGCGAATTCTGGGTTTAGACTCAAGGCCGTTCCTTGGCTGCCTCTCGTGGTTCTTACCATGGTGGTTGCCAGTGTCGAGTCCACGCCATTTTCGTCACTTCGTAACTTCGCTTAATTTTGCGAAACTTTGTAACTTTGATGGGAATCGGTGAAAGTTCGTGATTTTGATAGCTTTCTGTGAAAGTTCGTGAGTCAGCATTCCGGACTTGTCAAGCGGCGGCTCCTCGGCACATCACGGAGTGATGCGTATCAGTAGCTTGCCGAGATTGGCCGGTTAGGCTCGGGTTAGCTGGTTAGTGGTTAGAGGTTAGCGGTTCGGGTTAGCTGGTTAGGGTTAAAGGTTAGTGGTTAGTGGTTAGGGTTAGAGGTTAGCGGTTAGGGTTAGCAAGGTATCTATATGAAAGAAATCCCCAGAGACTTGAGTGGAGGAGAATGATGGCCAGATTGATGCGTTTGATTTGTGTGGGTTTTACATCTCACGAACTTCCCCGGAAATTCGCCAATGTGACGAAGTTTCGCAACTTGCCATCAAAGTGACGAAACTTCCCAACCTTAAGCGAAGTTACGAAGTGACGAAGGTGGGTACTACTCGCCAGTGTCGCAACCCCGGAATTCTAGATCTGCACTTTAGTCCTGAGGATGGTGGAGACGTCTTACTTTGGTCCTCGTGTGTTTCAACATATTTTAATCAGGAGGTCAATTACAAGATTGCTGAAGACGTTGTAGACTCGGAATGCAGGTCGTTTTATGCCAGATTCTTCATATTTTACCTGACCAGACAGTTTTATTCAGTTTTATTTGGATATAAAAGGCTTCCAGCCACTTTCAGATCTTTACAGCCGTTTGTGGAGCTTAGGGCGGGGCCGATGTTTTCTCTGTTTCGTCACTTATGGGCAGAACAGCTGCCCTGACGTCAGTTCTTCCTGAATTCCCTCCAGATGTAATGCGATCGATCCGCAGCGAGCCACACCCTCGGATTCCTTTTGGGGTGATTCAATCAAATTTCGACCAGCTTTGAGGGCCTTCTACGTAGGACCCCCTTGAGACCGAGAGGATTTCGTATGCCCATGTTGCAAGACCAGAGAGAAAAAAAGTTAAGATGGTCGTATCAGCCGAATTCAGATGCTGGGAATCGAACCCAGGCTTCCCACATATGTAAACTTCAAGTAGAAGCGAGCGTGCACCATGAACCCTAATGCACCACGTCCGAGTTCTTATGCTCGGCGCGTACCTGAATATATTCAGAGGGAAGAGCCGTCGGAGATATCGTAATAGAGAGTTTGCGCAAAAGCCGCACAAGCCGCATGCGGTTTTTTGGCATCGCGCAAAGCCGCATGCGGAAATCAGACCTGAGGTTACTGAGAAACCAAGTCAGTGGAGAGGTAGTTGGGTTGAGAGGCAAGTCCTGTTGAGTAAAAAAATTGCATTACTGCCGCAACTGCTCTGTGCAGGACGTGAAAAGTGTGCGAAATCTGAGTGGAGCCGGAGTGATGGCTGGACAAACTGCTTCCCCAGCTCGCGCATCGACCAGATAGTAATTTTGATGAGCACAATACAGTGTCACAGAGACCTGAGAGTGTAATGAACTCACGAAATAATGCAGCAAACCCAGGAAAAACCCGATAATTTTGCGCAATGCCGAAAAGCCGCATGCGGCTGGTGCGGCTTTTGCGCAAGCTCTCTAATACCAATTCACTTACGCATTTGCCCGGAGGGTGAACAAGGAAATCGATCTGTTGGGAATTCGGACCCTGGGAGTCGGACCCAGCCCTCCCGCTCCAAAGGCTGTGCACTACGTCCGAATTCCTTTCAACCTTCCGTACCTGAATATATTCCGCAAAAGCCATCTGTCCCAAGCCGGAAGGGAAATCCAACCCAAATGTAAGATCCTCTGCATTCCCAAGTTCCCACCAATCAGTTGGTCTTGGAATTCACCCGGCGAGGAGCTTCGCGAGCAAGGAGCAGGGCCTGGTCTGGGAGCGAGAACGAGAGGATTATGGACACAGCAGCACAGATCACAAAAAAGTTAAACCGAAAAGACTCAGACGCTGGGAATCGAACCCAGGCTTCCCGCGTCAACCTCTTGAAATTCACTAAAGAGAACGAGTGTGCACCATACACCACGTCTGAGTCCCTTCCTGCCTGTGTACCTGAATATATCCATGGCCTAGTAGAAGGAAGAACACCGTGTTGAGGAAGGGAGGAAGCAAGGAAATTGAACCATATTCACATCCCGACCGCTGCTCTTCAATACCAAATCCCTATTCGTCGGTCAGAGGGAGGTGGTAAAGATTTGTAGTTGCCCTGAGTTGTACCCTGAAAAAGAAGAGCAAGACGACACAACTACTCGGACGCTGGGAGTCGAACCCAGGCTTCCCACCGCCAAATGCGCTGTGAACAAAGAAAGGGAGCGGGTGTGCACCATGCACCACATCCGAGTTCTTTTCATCCGTGCGTACTCTGCAAAATTCATCCACCCCAAGCCCCGGTCACGTAGAAGAGAAACCCAACCGAGCATGAACGACATTTCCAAGTTCCCGCAAATCAGATCACCTTTGAATCCAGATACCCGGGTTACGGGGAGGTGCGCGGTGTGAGCCTGAGACCGAGAGGACTCTTTATCATGATGTCCAAGTTTCAAGAGAGAAAAAAGCTAAGTTGGATGGCTGAGCTGAATTCGGACGCTGGGAGTCGAACCCAGGCTCCCGGCATCACGAAATGAAGATCAAATCATAAGGACCGGGCGTGCACCGTGCACTACGTTCGAGGTTCTTAGGATGGGTGTGTACCTGAATACATGCCGCAGAAATAATCAATACGAGCGAGGCTCAGAGGCGCGCAGCGAAAAAGAACACCCAATATCACCCCATCCAAAAGCGCGTAGAGCGAACATCCGGGTTATTTGACAGTGAGAGGCTTTTGGGCAGGTCGCACAACAAATTGAACTACTAGATGTTGGCCAAAAGAAGATGAGAGAGAGATTTGTACTTGCTGGGTTGAAGCTTGAAAAAGATAAACGAGCCGACGACACTATTCGGACGCTGGGGATTGAACCCATGCTTCCCGCCTCTAAATGCTTCATGACCAGCTGTAAGAAGAGCGGGCGTGCACCATACACCACATCCAGGTTCCTTTCAACCTTGCGCACCGGAACACATGCTTCAAGAATCATCCGCCCTAAGCCCCTGGCCAGAAAGGAAACCCAACGTAGCACGACCTACATTTCCCCGGTCCAAGTTCTCCCCAATCGGGTGGCATATGAATCTAGAGCCTCGGGTTGCAGGGAGGTGCGTGGTGTGAGCCTGAGAACGAGAGGATTTTTTATCACGAGGGCAAGTTCCAAAAAGAGAAAAAAGTAAAATGGATATCTGTTCACAATTCGGACGGTGGGAGTCGAACCCACACTTCCCGCTGGACCTACCAGCCTTTTATACATAGTAGAAGCGGGCGTGCATCATACACCACATCCGACTTCCTATATTCGGTATGTACCTGAATATATGTATATTCGTAGGCGAGGGCGAGGGCGAGAGCCGCACGGATACTTGCAACTTACTGTAATATTTAAGTACTAAGTAACAAGTCACTTGTCCGGAGGGTGAAAAAGGAAATGGATCTGTGGGTGATCATTCGGACGCGGGGAGTCGAACCCAGGCCTCCCGCCTCTAAATATCACAGCGACACCCCTAGAGGGAGCGGGCGTGCGCCGTGCACCACGTCCGAGCTCCTAGCTTGTATGTGTACCTGTACCTGAATATACGAGTTTTCAAGGGAGGATTCACACTCAGTGTGCGGGAGGATGGTTATTTTATTTACACAGGCAAAATGAACAAGACATGGAAGATATGATATATGATACACTGAGGTATAGCGGACGTCCGCGGGTGGTATGTAGGTGCGTAGAATTATAGAGGTGTGTGTGGTATGTACGAGGTGGGCGGAGATGTGGATGTGGTGGGGAGGGGACGCGTGGCACGCAACCGCAGCGACGGCGCGGATGGACGGAGGGTGGCGGGGTAGGTGGGATACGGGGCAGATGCGCCGCGTACGGGGCGCGACCGCGTACGGGGCGAGTGTGGTGTGTGGCGTTGGCTCTCGCGACGAGGAGGGCCCCAGCGGGGGCGGGCGACGGGTGAGAGTAGTGCAGCGTACCTCCCTTCCTCGCGCGTTTTAGTAGGTCTCACTCCTCCTCGGCTTCCCCCTCTCCCTTTCCTTATCCCGACCCGAATCGCGACCCCGACTACTCTCGCGGCTCAGCTTCCCGCTCCCACCCCCACCGCCGCCGCCGCCGAAGCCAAAGACACGCCGCAGCAGCGGCACCTCGCGCGTCGGGCTGCGCACGGGTTGCGGTTGGTACATGGGCTGCGGCTGTGCGTATACGGGGCCGGGCGCGTACGGCGGGGGTTGCGGTGCGTACATAGGCTGCGGGCCCGGCCCCGGCTGCGCGTACATAAACCCCGGAGGCGGCGGCGGTGGCGGGTAGGACCCCTGGCGGTGCGCGACGGGCGGTTGCTGGTACGAGTAGCTGCGCGTGTGCGTGGGGGGCGCGGCCTGCGAGGTCGAGCGCGAGCGGCGGTGCGGTGGCGGCGGTGGCGGGGCGGGAAGGTGGGGGTAGAAGTAGGGCTGCACGACCGCGGGGTATAAAGGTTGCTGGACGCCGTAGATGTCATTTTTGGGCGGGGCGGTCTGTGGGCGCGGGGGGCCCGTGCGTTGGGGTTGTTGCAGTGGCACCGGTGGCGGCGGGGTGCGCTCGCGCTCGCGGTGGCGGCCCGACGAGCGCGTGCGGCGCCGACCCGGGAGCGGGGCCGGGCCGGCGGCGGGGGTGGGCGGGGCGAAGGGGTCCGCCTGGGGCACGAGGTGGGTGCTCTCCGTCCAGCGCGCGATGCGGGCCTGGGTCTCGAAGTGCCGGGTGTAGGCTTCGGGGCTGAAGTCGTATTCCGTCATTTTGGGAGGTTATCTTCTGCTAGTAGATGGCGCTGGAGATTGGGATGTGGATGTGGATGTCAAGGAGGGAGGATGGGGAGGAGGAGAGGGACATGCCAAGCGGCGCCTCAAATTTTTATTTTGTGTGGGGCGTCACGCCATGCCACGTGCACGGTCCCCATCGCCGATCATCCGCGGATGCAATTGACAGTGACCCGATTTGGAAGTTCCCTCTCAATTGCGCTTGTACGCTTGTTGTCCTCATTCCATCTTCCATCTTCCGTCTCATCTACTTGTCTTGTGCAACTCTGCATGGTCCCTGCGTCCCTAACGCTGTGCCTTACCCCTCTTAACATGCCGGGCAAGGCAGGAAGCCACACCGACTCCGTCGCTATCTCCGTAATCCCCGCTGACAGATCGCACGCCCGCCGCGTTCTCCTCGTACGCCACTCTGCGGACGCAGTGACGCACGTCGCTGACCCTATCATCAATGCCTTCACCCCGCGGCGCGTGACTCCCCGGACTGCGCACACAACGCAAGGCGATGACTCGTTCGACTTGAAGTACACGCACAGCCCACGCCCCACCTCATATCGGATCTTCCGCGCCAGCTTTGACATCCACATACTGCTAGCAGCGGCGGGCGCCGGAATCGCCTATCGCCGGCCACGCCTATTCCTGCCCTGCAGGCTGCATGTCCCCGCTCTGCGCCGCGTTGATTCCTGCCCGCTGCATTCCAATCCATCTAATCACCCCTGCCGCCGCCGCCGGGCCAGGGGTGATAGGCAGATCGATGGGAATGTAGGGCCTTACACCGTACAGCGTGCGTCTCCCATCCTGACCCCTACCCGTATGTCGTGCGCACAGCGTATGTCGCCATCGCTGTGAGGACCGGTCCCGCGTATTGCCCCACACTTCATCTCCTGCTTCTAATTAATTAAACACCGCATCGATCTACGCGCGCTTTCTTCTCTTCTCCGTGCCCGGCGCCCACCGGAGCTTATCCCATTCGGACGTGTTATGGGTCCACCCATCATTCCGGTGGCGTTCCGCGTTCTTCCGTTGTGGGCTCCGTCTCTGTTCTGTTCTCTTCCAATCGTAATTGTGTTCATTTCCGCTCTGGTTCCAGTCCATGTTCTTTCTGGTTCTTGACTCCGCTCGCCTTGCCAAGATATGCGTCAATATCACATCATAATAATATCCACATGATCAGCCTTCTCCCGTTCTGGGCTGCGTCTTGTCCATGTCCTTGTCCTCGCCCTTGTTCTGGCTCTACTCTATTTGATTCTGTTTCTCCCAATTGTGTTCATCTCGGTTTCTATTCTTCTTCCTGGTCCTCGACTCCGCTCGCCTCGCCAAGATATGCATCGATACCCATCTCCATCTTCGTCTCACCTCGTCATATCGTCATATCACCCCCTCCTCTGTTGATTACCACCATTACCACTTGGCGCTCCGCGTGCGTCCGCCGATCGCTCTCGTCATATTACCCCTCTCCTCTGCTGATTACCACCATTACCACTTGGCGCCCAACTCCGCGTGCGTGCGTTCGCTGATCCCTATCATCATCATCGTCAGCAGCAATTTCCAATGTACACAGTGACGCAACCACAAATCAATCACGGCAACGGCAATGGGACTCGCACGTCTCCTACTTATCTTGCTACAAAAGAGGGCTATAGACTCGGACGTGGTGTACGGCGCACAACCGCTCTTCTTACGCAATAGGTGACAAATAGGTGAAGGCGGGAGGCCTGGGTTCGACTCCCGGCGTCCGAGTATACAAGGCTCATCGACTTTTTTTTTGGGTGGGTGGTGCGTCAGGATCACTACTCTGTGTCGCAGAGTATCAACTCTAGGCGCCGGCGGATTATCGCGCGCGTCCACGGCGGTGTACTGCGCATCGGGGTGAGGCTCATCATTGAGTGAAAGATAAAAAAACATTTCAAGGGCAAGGTGAGCTTCCATACTCTGGTGCTTAGCCCGCTACAAAAGAAGGCTGCCGACTCGGGCGTGGTGCACGGCGCACACCCGCTCTTCTTATGAGAACGCGCCTCTTCGGTCACAGCGGGAGCCTGGTTTCGACTCCCAGCGTCCGAATGGCATAGTCGTCATCCGATTTTTGTTTTACACTCCTCTTGCTCACTACTCTGTGTCCCTATCAACTCTGGGGTCTTGCGCATTATCGCGCGTGTCCACAGCCGTGTACTGCGTATCGGGGTGAGGTTCGTCGGTGAAGGAATATCGCGAGCGGGATGCCCGCGTCCTTGTCCAGCGGCAGAAGAGGGCTATAGACTCGGACGTGGCGCACGGTGCATACCCCCTTCATGATTCGCTGCAAACTAAGCCACAGCGGGAGACCTGGGTTCGACTCCCAGCGTCCGAACTTTCTGTTCCCACATGATTTTTATTTCCTTTCCTCCCGAGGCGCACCGCTCTGTCACGATCAACTCCAGGTTCCTGCAGATCATCGCACGTGGCCACGTTCCGCTCCGGATGATGCGTGAAGCTCATCAGTGAATTTCGCCTGTGAAGGCCCACAACACACACCTATGTGGCGTTCAAAACTCTGGTCCACATTTCGCTTCAAAGCAGGGGTAATAGCTCGGATGTGGTGCACGGGCTCTCCTTCAAACCAAGGCATCGGGCAATGAAAGCGGGAGCCCTGGGTTCGACTCCCAGTATCCGGATTTTTCATTTTCTCTGAGACCTTTTTGCCTCCCAGATTGCACTCGTGTTTTAAAATTCCCTATCGAGCCACGCTGATCCATCCCCGCACAGGAATTACTCCTGGCCTGGGTAGTTTCGGGCGCCGCATATGTGTAGGCCGTCACACCGCAGAGGCCACGGTTTGGGCAATAATCGCATCTGGGGTTCAAGAAGCGCGGCTCGAGTCAACTTGAGGAGACGGAATATGGCGCATGAGGTGAGCTTCACGACTCTGATACTTACCCCGGTGCAGAAAAGAGCTATGAACTCGGACGTGGTGCACGACACACACCCGCTCTTCTTATGGGGGCGAAAGACTTCGAAACAGATGAAAGTGCGAGGCCTGGGTTCGACTCCCAGCGTCCGAATGGTCCAGGAAACCGCGAGCTCTTTTTATATCCAGTCGATTTTGCCTCGGATTCCCATCTCCCTGCGTGCGGTTCGATTGGATGTGTGTGTGTTCACGAATTCGTTTCATTACTCCTTACGCAATCAATCAGGATATAGGTGCGTCGGCCCACCGCGGCCGTCAGGAGACTGCTACTTAGCCCACTTCAGGCCAGGGATATAGACTCGGACGTGGTGCACGGTGCGCACCCGCTCTCCTTGAAAGTCGAAATACGGAGTAAGTGGGAGCCCTGGGTTCGACTCCCAGCGTCCGAATATATGGTGATCTGTATCTTTTTCACCTCAGGGCTGTCGATTTGTATTGATCTTTGCAATACCCCTATCGACCTATGTATGCTGATCAATTTTTGAACAGGATTGAATTACTCCTCATCTGGGTTCGCTTCAGTCGAGTTGAGCTGAAGACGGAATATCGCGAGCGAGAAGAGCTCCAAAACAAAGGGAAAGGAGGACTCAGACGTGGTGCATGGCGCACATCCGCTCTTCTTATGTGGGTGACGAACAAGTGAAAGCAGAAGCCCTGGATTCGACTCCCAGCGTCCGAATGGTCCAGAATACCGCGAGCTCTTTTTATATCCAGTTGATTTGCCTCGGATTCCCATCTCCCTGCATGCGGTTCGATTGGATGTGTGTGTGCTCACGAATTCGTTTCATTGCTCCTTACGCAATCAACCAGGATATAGGTGCGTCGACCCACCGCGGCCGTCGGGAGACTGCTGGTTACCCCGCTACAAAAGAGGGCTACAGACTCGGACGTGGTGCACGGCGCACCCCCACTCTTCTTATGTGAGTGCCAAATATATGAAAGCGGGAGCCCTGGGTTCGACTCCCAGCGTCCGGATACTGAAGTTATAGCCCGGTTTTTGTTTTGTTTTGTTTTTCACCGCGCTCACTACTCTCTTGTCACAGAGTATCAACTCTGGTGTCCTGCAGAGTATCACACACGTCCGGATGCCGTGTGTGGTACGTCTCGACTGTCTTTATCCCGTTTGCACCTGATCATAATAAGTCGATTGGATTCGGTACATGCTCTGAGATCTGATTCATCGTCGCTCCCGTACAGGCCGACTTTTGGCCGGCGGTATCAGGGTCGTAATATCGCATCATCATGGGCGTCGAAGGGCTAAAAAGTCTCTACTTACCGCGGCCGTCGAGGGACTCCTACTCACCCTGCCTCAATCCAGGAATATCAATCTCGGATGTGGTGCACGGCGCACCCCCGCCCTTCATGATTTGTCTTCGTCAATACAAGGAACGGCGGGAAGCCTGGGTTTGATTCCCAGTGTCCGAATGCATAATGGACCGCTTATTTTTTACCTCCCGAGTTGTGTTGATCTTTTACTGTAAATTTTCCTGCTGACGAATTTCGAGGAGCATGGAATTACAGTGGGCCTCGGCTTCAAGAAGCGCGGCTTCAGTCGAGTTGAGCTGAAGACGGAATGTCGCGGCGAGGTGAGTGTCAATACTCTGGTGCTTACCCCGCTACAAAAGAGGACTATAAACTCGGATGTGGTGCATGGCGCACCTCCGCCCTTTATGATTTGTCTCCGTCAATACAAGGAACGGCGGGAGCTGTGGGTTCGATTCCCAGCGTCCGAATGTTACGATTCCGATACAGTTTTTGTTTCCTTTCCTCCCGAGGCTCACTAGTCTTTGTCGCTCTTGGCTCCGGGATCTTGGATCGTCGGGTGTGTCCACGGCCGTGTACTGCGCATCGGGGTCAGGGTCGTCTGGGATCCGGTGAAGGTCCAGATACCTATCTTGCGTCGGAGGTATGTGTGTAACCGTTAAAACTCTGGTCTTCATCTCGCTTCAAAGCAGGGATAACAGTTCGGACGTGGTACGGCGCACCCCTGCTCTCCCTTTGGCAAAGCGGAGTTGGAGGCCAGCGTCCGAATAAATAACGATTTCGATCCTTCTTATCCGCCGAGTTGTATTGATCTTTGACTGTAAATTTCCCTGCTGATGAATTATCGAGGAATACTGTATGGAATTCGGCGCGGATCGCGTCGGACTTAGCTGAACACTATTGCGGGCGCCGAAGGACTTAGCAGTCCTATATCTATCCTGCATCGAAAGAGGGTTATAGACCCGGATGTGGTGCATGACGCACACCCGCTTTCCTTGGTTCTCAAACCATACTAAGCTGGGAGCTCTGGGTTCGACTCTCAGCGTCCGAATAGGTCTTTATAATCCTTTTTACTGTTAAAATGCCTACCGAAATGCGCTGATCAATCCAATCTCGGGCAGGATCGAATATTAAACGATTACTCTTACCCCTGGACTCAACGTGAAGTTGAAATTAGCATGCTACTTGCCCCGCTACAAAAGGGCTGTAGACTCGGACCTGGTGCACGGCGCACATAGACTCGTAACCAATCTGCCTATGATCTGCGACAATGTGGCGAGAGCACGTTGCCGTAAGCACGGCAAAGAGCTTGCCTATATTGCATCGCCGTGGGCGTCGAAGGGCTGAGAAGTCTCCTACTCACCCCGCGGGAGGGTGAGGAGGAGGAGAACGTGGTGCATGGTGCACACCTCTTCCCCGTTAGTTTGAACTACGGTAAAGGCGGTGGGCCTGGGTTCGACTCCCAGCGTTCGAATAGGTGGGTTCTCCCCAATTTTTTGTTTGTTTTATATTCGGGCTCGCCACTGGGGATTATCGCGCGCGTCCGAGTTCGGTTCCATGCGGCCCGTCGGATTGAAGTTTGTCGGTGAAGGAATATCGTGACGAGGTGAGCCTCAATAGTCGGGTACTTACCCCGCGCCGAAACCAGTATTTCAACTCGGATGCGCACACACGTTCTCCTTATTATTACATTACTGTAAGTGAGAGCCCTGGGTCTGACTCCCAGCGTACGAATGATGCCCCACAGATCCCTTTCCTTTTTCACCCTGTGGGCAAGTGACTTCAATTAGTATTACAGCGAGTATCCCACGCCCGCTTCTACTACTGTAAAAGGCAGGTCAAGCGGGAAGCCTGGGTTCGATCCGCAACATCCGAAGCCGGTGTGCAAAGGTCCTTTTGTTTTGACTTCCAGTGTCACCGGACCATAATTTGCTAGGACCACCCTCTGGCATTTAGTGCCATCTGGGGATCTGGATTTCCACCTCGGAATGCAGGTTCTCTTTTAATTCCCTCCCAGTGGTTGGGACTGATGATTCTTGCACTTATTCAGGCGTCCGAATATCCCCCAGCGGGCAATCTTTTATCGCTTTCAACCTGACGATTCCCCAGCCTTGGCGAGCTACAGCTCCATCCCTTACGCCGAATCGTTGGGGTTTGTGACAGTGCGTTTGGATCTGGATGGGCCGCCCGGAAGATTTTGAGAATGGTCCCCGCACATCAATCCCTAAATGGTAATATCAAAACGTGACCTCCGGAGCTCCGGAGGACTGTCGAGCATTGTTTGTCAATCACTGCCTCTTTCGGAGTCTTTCCTCTGTACCGCCACGACACCACCTCCTGACTGCAAGGGAGGGTGCCCCATCGCTCAAATAACCACCCGCGGACCATCCTCGAGCATCCCGAGGCTTATATTGCCCTCGGGCTCCCGGTTTGTCTTCAAGTTCTCCTTGCGCCGCCAGCCGCACCCGCAATGTTCGATGCCACCGCTCCGCAGTGCGGGTGGCATGCTTACAGATATACTGTGAGTCTTTCTATTCCATCCTATTCAAATTGTGCTCAATCTTTGATACAAATTACGCGTCCCGACGCGTCGTGGGCGCGTTGGTGCGGTCCGTGACGCGTCCTATTGTGTAAGTATTTCATGTTTACACATTCACGACTTAGTAATGCAATGAGAATTTATTTCTTGAAGTCCCTTGCCCATACACAGTTCGGGCCTGACCATGCCACCCACCACTCTCGACTTCATGGTGGCTTTGCGGAGCATCGCCGGAGGGTCCGGAGATCACGTGTGTGAATTACCATATGCAGAATGATGTGTGGGAACAAAACTGGCGATCTCCGCCCGGATTTCGGACGGTGGTTAAATATTATAGAAGCATTGATTCTTGGGGTCTACAGTGACTGTGCCTATGCTGATTATTTTTGCAGGATATATTCAAGTATAAATGGGAGTGAGGAAGGTAGGATCTCGGACATAGTGCACGGCGCACCCTCTCCGGGCGGTGATCTCCTCAATCGTGCTTGGTGCTACAAGGAAGAGCGGGAGCCCTGAGTTCGACTCTCAGGGTCGAAATAGCGGACCCCAACCAATTTTACTACCACCTATTGCCCTTCTGCTACCTGATCAACTCAGACAGGGTCCTCCATGCGATTTTAATCCGTGCCCGGAGACAAGAGAATAAAATTTGACATGGTGGGCATTTCCACCGCTGCAGAAGAGGAATGAGAACTCGGACGTGGTGCACGGCGCATACTCGCTCTCCTCAAAAGAAAGGAAAGGAGAAGAGACAAGCGGGAGATCTGGGTTCGGGCGTACAGATGTGAGTTGAATATTCTTTTACATATATCCACTCATGCTTTACCTCCAATCCCCAGCCCGGCGTTTATTCTGGATGACTGATTCTCGGAGGACTCAAGAAGAGACTCCTACATACTCTGGATTAGGACTCGGATGTATCTCATGCCGCGCACCCACTCTTCTGATGCAAGGTTGACGGTTGGCTGTGGTTCAAAATGGCTCTAGAGGACGTCACGGCGTGACCATCTTCGGGAAACTTCCACTGCAACGGGTCAGGATAGTGAGCTTAAAATTGACCCAAGAAAGGGTGTTGAGTGTTGCAGCTTGCGTTTCAACCTGTTTTCAACTCCTTTCGGCCTTTTCGGCAGTGGTTCGGCTGATATCGGCTCATGTGGAAATTCCCGGGCCCCGCTTGTTCCTCCGCTTTTGTTCTACTCCTCCACTAGGCCCCATCCGCTCACTGCTTTATTCTCGTGGTGGCCTTGTGTGTATCCGAATGATAATGGCCCAAAGATCCATTTCCTTTTTAGCCCTCGAGCAAGTGACTTCGAAGCATCCTTGCGGCTCTCGCCCTCACCCATATATTGCGGTACGCATAGTGTTGCCGATAACCCGTACCGAACCCGAACCGGACACAAATTCAGGTTCAGGGCCCATCAAAAGACCGGACCGGACCGTGGGTCCGGTTCGGGGTCTGAAAAAAATCAAAAGAGGCTGAACCTGTGCGAACCTGTGGACAGGTTCGAACCCGCGGTTTACGCGCCATTTTGACCAGGAAAAGTACTGCATTTATTTGACTGCATATGATCGTCTTCGATCTCAATG